ATAGAGACCAGTAGAAATCATGACCATCTACGACGCCCATTGATTCATGCAAGCCCTCGCGAGAGGCTCGGCCGCGCGAGGTAAGATCCCAGACCCATGGCCTCCCAGTGAGGACGCACCCTTTCGGGGTGGGGTGGATCGACATGAACTCGAACGCGAAAAAAAAGGAACAAATTCGATTTGTGGTTATATGATTATACAAACTTGTTCTACTATATAGTTAGGTAAACTGAGCTCTACCACAGGTGTTCAGTCCCCTTAAATCTGCAGATCTCCCACCACCCATGCGCACATGAACCACCCACCCGTTTTCCTCCCCGCGCAGGGCGGGTCTTTGATCCGTCTGTGGTTCAGAAAGATTTGTGTGGAAGCAGGCAAGGTTAATTGTTTTAGCTACTAGTAGCTTCTTGCTAGTAATGCCCTTGTTACTACTAGCAATGCACTTGTTACTCGTAGCATTCTTGTACCTCTTTGACTGTTTTAGGACTCGGAATCCTGTTTCATGCTTCGCACGTTTTTTTTCAACTTGAAGTCAGAAGTGGATCTCGGAGAGTCTGGGGAAGTGTTCCATGTCAAATTGACCGAATCGTTTGATATTGAATGAAAGTTGATCCTTTTGTGGGGTGATCCTTGGAATCCACCGGATCAGCAGATGGGAATGGAATTTGCCCCGGCAGGACTGCTTGGAGTGCTGGAACTGCCAAACTTGCTGGACCAAAGGATCCAGGCTGGTTCTGTTTGCATCGATTGGATTGACTTGTGGCAAAAGTGAAAGTTTGGTATAGTTTGGTTATATAATTGGAGAGTTTGGAAGCGAGAATGTTTTTGTTGTTTGAGACCGGCTGTTATGAAATGTTCTGAAGCTTCGTTGGGAGATGTTTGTGCTATGTGTCTTTCATGGCACGGTCTATAGGTCTAGCCCTGGTTTTCTGAAATCCATGTTGTCTCGAACGAAAGCCAACAAAAAACCGGAGCATCTCCAGCACCGCAGGAGCGTGGAAGACTTCAACTCCGCCGCCGTGTTGACTCACCTCCGTGCGGCCGCCCGGTCGGTCGGTCGAAGGTTTTTGCGAAGTCAGATCACGTTAGTCGTCAGGGAGAGCAGTCGTCGAGTCGGAGAAAGCGATCAATCAATCATTCTTGTGAGACCTTCTTCACAGGTGTGTGCGTGTGTGCGCTTGCGCACGCGCATGCACGAATCTCTCTCTCTCTGTATTAAACAAGGTTGTCCTACTGTAGATATGTTTTTGTTTATGTGGTCATGTGAGTTCTATTTCTTTCCACGTCGTTTTTTGGGCCACGAACATCAGCCTGTTTTGCTCTCGTCTAGAGTGTGAAGGCTGGAGAGTCTTCATTCGATTCAGATCAACAAAAACTCCCCAGGTGATGGGAGGAGTCTGTCAGATAGCGATTGTTCATTGACTAAACCATTTAAACCCCTCAAGTTACATCTCAAAACCGACCACAAGAGGTCGGTCGGTGTTCTTAGAACGGCAGGTGATCGGTGAATTGGTGATTTGCTGAAACAACTAGGTTTCTGAAGTAAATAGAACATGACTGATGACTGTTCAAGGAATAGAATCCATCTCCTTTTGCAACTTTCATAATGTTGCAAGGCTGCGTCAAGCAACTTCAGACCTTTAAAACCTGCGTCAAGCTTCTTCGTCGGCTCAATAGTTCCCCCACAAGCAGAAGCGGTTTGGTCAAAACAGCTCTGGTGGGCGCAGACGTGATGCGGCTTCCCTACAGTAACAGTTTGAGGCTTCCCAGGACCCCAAACCGCCAGTTAATCTGTGGCTTTTGGTTGATCAACTGATCAACAGCCTCAGCCCGCCATGTAAAACCATCATCAGGTCAAGAGTTTTGGAGTGATGAGCCGCGACCTTAGACGCGTGACGCAACAGGGTCGAGTGCGAAAACCAGTCCTGGCAAAAGAAACACATGAAACAACAATTTTCCCTCAAGAGGAGACGGCAAAAACAGCATCTTCCCCCAAGAGGAGACTGAGCAAACCCCCGGTCAGACGAGCTCAAGCACCCGGACCCAATTCACATGGTTTCATTATGTTTCATTAACATTCGACTCCCTGAAAGGCTTTGCCGGTTTTGCCAGCTGCTGAAAAGATGAATGCATAGAAACTTAATGCAGTGAGAGGCAAGATGCTATTTGGATCATCTAAATGTATGTTGGACACCACCCACGTAAATAAAAGCGGGCTCAGGTGGCACCAAAAGCGAATCTTGGCAGCAGAAATGTCCTTTTCATCTTCAAGCAGTCAAATGGCCAGGGCTTAGGTGACAGTGGGCTTAGGTGACGGTGGCGCCCGGAACATGTGGAGGAACCGCCAAAGAATACGGAACATGTTTAGACGGGTGAAACAAATAAATAGACCCAAACTGTTCAATATTGTTAATATTTTTTCTTTTGCCTATGTGATGGCTGACAACATACATATACACCCTGAGGCAGGTGAGAGACAAGGCACCAATCCTCAAGAAGCTGTCTCAGTGACAACTGGCGACTGAATAGGTTCATGTCATACTGTACATACTTGTGTCAGCAGCGACTTGTGGTGTATTGATACTATTCTCCATCTGACTCAACACACTTATGGCACCTTGTCGTGTGGGGGGTCGGCAAAGTCAAAGCCAGAAGCCGGTGTATCAACTGTTTGGCTTTGACTCTTTGCCATAAAGGGGCAATACCAGGAACTGGGGATGCTCTTGATCATTTTTGATTTGCATCTCTCAGGACATTGGTTGTCAGGCCAGGAACCGAAGCTTCGTGACATGTCGCGATGCGTGAGCGGCAGTGGGAAAGCTTGGACACATGACACATGTAGAGCTTTCATGTATAGATCCCCTGCAGTTTCAACCTTTTCACAAAGAAGAAGAAGATAGATGAGCACTCATTGGAGACAACGTTGTCTCCCTCGGACGAAATGGTGAAAAGGTGAAACTCTTTCAACCTCATCGAGTGTCTTCGTGTCGAGTGTCGTGCCCCCGAAACCAACCGCCTTCGGTCTCAGGCGACTGGACTGCACATGGTGCAGTTCCCTTGGCCCTGGTGTCAGCCTTCCTTTTGGCAGCGGCCCAAGTTACGCGTTGACGGCGGCGGCGGCTTTGGACGACGGAGACGGAGACGTTCAGCTGTGGCTTCCGTGGGTTCCGTGTGGAAGCTGCCCAAGACGGCTCCATTAAGTCAGATAGATTGGTCATTACTGAAAGACTAATTACGTGGAATGTGAATAATTTTGAATATTTTTGAGGGGTTCCAGTCAGATAGATTTGGACTTTATGATATTCGTCATGTCTCACACGTCTCTGGAGTTTTGTGGTTCCGCCCTTGGTCCAGGTGGTTCAGACACGTTCCAACAGAGTCAGATTGGCAGTGGTGTTTTCGGATGTGTCTTAAGATATGGATGTTTAGACGTTTAGGACTTTTGACCTCAGTTCTCACCATTCCACATATTAGGTGGGGGCACTTGTTTGTTTCCATCAACTGTATGATTATATTATATATATATATGTATGTATCTATATATTATATATATACATGTGTATATATATATATATTATATATATATACATGTATATATATATATATGTATATATTACTATATATATTTGGGAAGGGTCGGAAGGGTCGTGCGCGTACCAAGGCTTTTGCAGCCTTCAAGCTGCTGAGTCGACATCTGGACGGACCGGACGATGGGCACCGCGGCAGGGACCGCCAAGTGCTGTCGGAGCCAGGTCAGGGCAGTGGATCAGGTCAGTGCTTGGTGTGGTCATGTCTGGGGAGATGTTGAGATCCCTTCTCACGGTGCGTATACAAACCGGTCCAGACCGGATGAGCTCTGACCTGACCTCCAGTCTGAGCCAAAGCCCCTAAAAACGGGGGGTGTTCCACCGCTGAGGCAAAGATGTGAAGGATAGCTGAAGGCCAAAGGTGCGCTGGGGAGCACCGAAGGTGGTGACCTATCTGGTCCAATGGGAGTCGAATTCAGACTGCTGAGAAGTCGAATTCATTTGGGTATATAGTATATATGATATTATATGATTATGTATATATACCTTGAAAGCCCAATGCCCAAAATTGTTTGGTCATTATAGGAAAAGCTGTAACATTCAGTTTTTGTCCAAATACTGTTTCTACCCGTAAGGACGACCCAAAAGGATGGCAGGCCTACCGGTTTCAAGATTTTATTGAAAAAGTAAAAGGCCGTAGCAAATCTCACACTGGCTTTCCAGGCCTCTATAGAGACAGAGACCCAGTGAGTGAACTTCCGTGCTCGTCCAAGTTTGTGAGGCGAAGCTTTCCCTTCTTCCTTTCTTAAACGGGACACACCACTCCAATAACTTGTGAAACAAAGCGATCGCCCCTCGCGCCGTGGCACCGGGCCCACCTTCGAGGCGGTTCCGCGGAAGAAGCCGCACGGGGCGGTGCGACCGTTGGAAAAAGCCGCACGTGCGCGCGACGGAGCAATCCCCATCCACTGGCATCACGGAGCTGATTTGAGAGCTCGACCCGGGAACGAGGTTGGGGGGGAACGAACGTAACGGTAGCCCTGGTGCCTTCCGTGAGTGGTTGGCGGCTTTCCAGAGTCACACTAGCCACCTCCGAAATGTCGTGTCAACCGCTGAAGGCGGTGAGGTGTAGTGTGAGCGCTTTAGGGGCGGTTTTCAAGATTTTGTCAGGGACAATTTCGAAAGGCCTTCTTGAGGGGCTGGAGTTTCACTGACAGTGTATTTTGATGGTTGGGTGCAAAGAGGCAGCATTCTTAGTTTGAAGGTGCCACGCAATTTGTTTGGATGCTTCTGAGAACTTACAAAGACAACTACACTACACAAGTGCACTGCGCTGCAATTTAAGCAGCACATGCCACTGCTTAGGAAGCTTTCCTGCATGTCCTTTCTTGAAAAACAATGTAGGTGAAGACATTGGGGGTTGCCGCACCGGACCCCTGTAACAGAGGTCGCATTTAGAGCGAAAGCCGCCAGGAGCGCTTTCCCGACGGTGTCCTTCCCTCGGGCTTACTCAGAAGTGATCAGCCACGAGCATATTCTACGCCAGGCGAGCTGGTGTTTGCCGACATGATTTGCGGAAAGCAATCCTATAGACTACAGATAGACACGATAATTAATCCTATATAAACAATTTACTGTGTAGGATCCTGTAGCATATATTATCCTACACTATACATTAGACTACAAAGTGGTTTCGAGTTTCAGGCTAGATTTGGATGGCACAACCCCTCTCGTCCAATGTGGGTTCCTTAAACCACAATAGTGGTCAAGTTGGGTCTGTGCCATCTACTGAGGTCAACAGTATAACTGTTGATTGAAGGCACCGCCTTAGCTACAGAACTGCTCCGGGGAGTTGGATACGCCTGTGTCTGGCGAGAATGACAGCTCTGGGGAAATCAGAACCTACCGGCCCAGATGTCTCAAAGGGGCCAGTTTTCAGTCATGTGGGTGTGAACACAGGTGAAAAAAAACACCTTCAAACAACACAATGATCATACAAGATCCACCAAAAACGGTCTCTTCACCTTGCTGATCCTCTCCCGTTTCTTCACTCCACGGCTTTTTTCAGGCACTACATGTGGAGCGCCCACAGCGCCTGGAACGAACCGCGTTTCGCACCGTCCGCGCGCCCGACCCGGAGCGTCACCCCGACGCACCGACGCGTCACCCGCGGCACCGGGGTGTGCGCTCCACAGCGCGGTCGCCCACGCCAACGCCCAGGTGGGGAAGGGGGATGAGATGAGCAACGTTTAAAGCAACTGACAAGGTGGCTGATGTAGAATCCAAATGAGTTTCGATTCTTGTTGAAGTATAGAGGAACATGGAGTGCCGTGGACATGTTGAAATGAAGATTTTGAAAGGAATATGGAGGTTCTTTGGTTCGGAGGGCTATGGTGGATTTGTGGAAAACACACTGGTAACATCTGGGAACTCTTTGTTTGGGATTGTATCTTTGATTAATATGTTTGTCCTTGGATCGGGGGTCGCCACCTGGCAGACCTAGCATCCTCTTTTGCTCTTTCCTACTTTACCCTGGGCCTTGGAAACTTCTAGGATTCAAGGCCTTCAAGGGGTCTTCTAATCTGCAGATCGCACCTGGTCTTTTCTCATCGTTCGCACTTGACGCTTGACAGGCGGGTCACCGGAGCATCTCCCTTGCCGAGAGCTTGGTCTGCAGTCGGACGGCCCAGAGCATCAGAAGTGCCGGAGCTGCGACCAAAGGTCCCAGGGAAGGCAGAGGGATCACTTCACTATAGGTAAAGCAATGATTGGTAGTGCCGTGCGTGGACGGGTTCGATGGTCAGCTGGATGCAGGAAGGGCCAACCTGGCTCTTGACAAGGCTGAGACCCAGCTGCTCCTGAATGCTCCTTAGACTGAGAGATTAAAACACCTGACCTGTATAGTAGTGTAGTATGCAAATATGATCTATAATTATGTACGACATGCTTTCTCACACTGCGCTATGCAAGTTGCTGCAAACCTCCGTTGTGAACATGCAGCCCAAAATATGTGTGATCCTGCGATGAGTAGCATGTGCATGTTGGTCCCAAGAATGAGAGAACCCCAACAAAAAAACCCTCAATTCGATAATTCGCCTGTGTGAGAGATTGGTCTCTGGGGTCTCTCTTCGGGCTTCGGAGATTGGCTCGGTGGCTGCTGAAAACATGTCACTGCCCGAAACATGTCACGGCGAGGTGACTTGGAATAGCAGCAGCCCAAATCCCGCCTGGTCCTCAGTAGATAGCTCTACTGAAAGAGCACATGAGCAAACCAATAGAACTTAGTGGTTTCAGTGCCAGGAGAGGTCTTCTCTGTTTTGTTTAACTAGAGCTTATGACAAAACTTCTCTTCTGCTTGAAAACGAAGTGATTGACTTCTTCCCGTACAGGTATATAATTGATGTACAAAGCTTTGGGTTCTCCATGCAATCTGGAAGCAAGGCCTGAGAATTAGAGTATATATAGTTGTGTTTGTATGTGTGGATAGTTTGTATGGGATCAAAGCGAATGCTCCAGGCCATGGTAGCAAAATCATATTTTGGTTGGGTACTGTAATACCCCTTGCTACCAGTATCTCTTGCCAGGACATCCAATATATACTGTAGTTGTACCTTTTTGAGAGTCAAACAATTTTAGAATTGTCATGCAGCATGAACAATGGCAGTGACATGCAGCAAGAAGCGTCTGCCGCTACGCATGTGCCAGAAGTTGGCTCCGGGTACAGTCCGTCAAGGAATGGCCAAACATATCCAAACATGACTATAGAAAGTAGCATTTATTCCCAACATGGGCCATGTATTTCTTCAGCACGGGACCAGAAATCCGCTTGGCCACACGCCAGCATTGCCTGGCAGTGGCCATAGACTCATAAAAAGTCGAAATGGGACTCCGAAGTTGAAGCCGAGGTTCCCAAGGCCATTTGGTTGATACGGTCTCTATACCAGCAAAAGTTCCCCCGTTGCCCAGTTGGCCTTTTGTTCGAATGACCCCAAAGAAGTCACTGGACTGGGATAGGGTGTGTCTCAAATAGCCAGCCCGAACCCATGGCACGTCAAGGCTTTTGTTGAGCTGTATTTTTTTGTTTTCAGAAGGCTCGTGCCGGCGATGGATAGCCAGAACTAAATGCTAAGAACCGCTGTTCAGTGTTTTCACGTGGCTTCACCGAAGCTACACACCTCGCTCTCCGCATCTCTCCGCACTCCGCGTCTTCGCGAGAACCGCGTGTCTCACGACTCGTCGACCGGGGGGATTTCTGGGGAGATGCGGCGGGTCCACGTCACCGGGTCGTCGACTGAGACCTTGCTGACCTCCTCGCCCCAGAGAGACTTCGAGGAGAAGCGGAAGACCGACGTGTCGTCGTGCCTTAGCTCTACTCGTCGACCTGTGGAGACCTGCGAGGGAAGGTATGAGTCAAGCACCAATTCTCAGTGCCCACACGAATTTGGGTGCGTTGACACGAATTTGTGGAAGATTTTATGGTTTGAAGCAGTCTTTTTGTTGTTAGCTCTCATACCCCGGTGAATATCGAGCATCAGATACTGTTGATGGACTCATGGTGAACAAAACGGATGGAGGACATTTTGTATTGATTCTATCACGGGCCCCGGGGGGCTTCACTGGACAAGTCCCCCACCACCGAAAGATCTTGAGCATGACCGTGCTTAATGCAACTTAAAACTGTTTGGTGCGTTCACAGGGGGCTATCCACTTTAGCAAGTTGACACAGAATATGAAAAGACAAGAGAACACGCAAATTGAAAGAACCAAGAACTTCCTGAAGGACCACTGGCTGAATGACTTCATCAAACTTGCTTATGACGACCCCAAGAAGTCGCTTGGCCCACCAGTGCGTGGCGATCGCTTGAAGATCCGCTTGAGCTCGGAACAACGTCCAAGGCAGCCGATGTTCCCACAGCTGCCGATGGCGGCCGTGGTGTCTGGGCATGGAGAAAGAAAAGACGAATGCGATGATGACAGTATACGGTTACCCCGTGAAGACTTTTTGGCTTATAGAAGTAATTTCATCTAAATCCGAGGAATATGGTTGGGTATATACGTTAAAGCTTTATGATTAAACGCCACCAGTTAAGACTCTTGAGCCAAGAGTCTTGAGAGAAAAGATTTTTGTTTGGGCTCTTTTTTCAGAACTATCCCTGAACAGTTGGACCACTGGTGGGTCACATGTCAAACCTTTCCAGGTTGACCACGACAAGCGCGGAAAGTGGCGACCATCGGCGACAGTCGGGATGTCGCGCCGCACCGTTTGGTACCCTTTTTTCAGGTCACAAATGGGGCTCAAGTACTCCATGACACTGGCATACACAGTATTACATAATAAATATATATTAATATATATTATATGCCTGAAATTGACCACTGAAACCACCCCGAAGTAGGTAAATATGGCATATATGGATATACATGGAGGGTTTGGGCAGGGACAAAGACATGGTGATTTCGTGAGTTCTTTCGCTACCTATGGCGCACCCACTGAAATTCACGCTTTGAAGACTCATATTTCATGTCTTAACCAGCGATTTACGCTCGCTCAGGTGGTCGGGCGCCAGCCAGGCCCAGGCACGAATGAACAAGAAGAAAGTTTTGAAGTTTTCAAGTGTTTGGGTTTGTTATCGACGCTAGTTATGTTGCGAAACCCAACAATAAGAACAGAACACCGACCTCGGGTGAGCAACACTGATATAAACGGATCATTGACTTGCGGCTTGCGGGAGTTCTCAGAGACAACAATGCAATCAACAAACCCAAAAACAAGCAAACATGCAACATGGGTTTGGAAGATTCATGGCTTTCATACAGACCAACAGTGACCAACATACCAGTTTTCAGGGGTTCCTATGCTGTACTCAGACATACTCAGACTGTGGATGTGGTTCAGCACTAGAACCCTAAAAAAGTGAGTGATGGGCTGCATGAGCATTCCGGTTTGCAAGCGGCAAGCACCTCACCGACTTCTATCGTTTTTCGTGGGGGATGTGGTTTCCTGGGCGAGACTGGGAACTTTCATTTCACACCAACTGCCAGGCTATCCACAGCCCTGTCAGGTGACAAGACACATGCGAGCTGTGTATTTTTGTTCAGTTCAACAAGTCTGAGTAAAAGGCGCCTGTGACGCCAGAGTCGCCTATTGAGATGATGTCAAGACAAGTCTTCGCGTCCCAGGAGTGGAGAAGAGTCCCCAAATCCCTTTGGTCCAGACCATGCAGGTGTTCACTGACACTGTGCCCGTCTTTTTCAGCCGTCAGGTTTGAACTCAAAAGGCATTCGTGTACAACCTCAGCTTCAATCACTGTAAAACGATTCAGACAAAGATGACATAGTTTCTCCAGACCAAATAATACCGGTGCTTCGGTTGTTGAACCTGTACAGTATTCAACTATATAGCTTCCAAATTCAAATAGTTGATAAAAGGTCCAGGGCTCCTGAGGACTCCTGAAGCAGAAGAGAAGCTGGTGATGATATGTTTCATGGTTTCAAGTTTCAGAGATTTTGTTTTTCAAGAAATTACTTGGGATGATTGAATCCACTGACTAGTATATAATTCTTAGTTCGTGAGTTTAAACCACCAACCAGATGAGAATGGCATGTTCGGACTGAGCCAGCACCAGGGCCAACACAAGATACATGGCAGAACTTGCGGCTGTGGTACTGCAACTAGAATTCCAAGGCAACACCATGTATGCATCGAGCAGTGCAAAACGCCAAGCAAGCCAAACAATTATAGTGGTATAGCGCAGAATAGTGATTGTGTTTGTTTGTTTGCTTGTTTGTCTTTTGAACCTCAGTCAGCATCCAAATCGAGCTCCCTCGCTCCGTCACGGTTCGTCCCAAAGCGGGCGAGACCAAATGTGCTGCAGCATCATTGAATGCCTTTGTCCTTTGCTTTGTGCAGCATTTGCGAGATGGTTGGTAGTTTGCAGTCCGCTCTTCATCACCAAGATGCTTTTGATTTATTCTTCTGAAAAATGGCAGGCATGGAACCCACTAGAATTGCCAACAGAACTGGCATCTGAACTGGACTCTGAGTGGTTTGTCCTTTACCGACAGGATTTGGAGCTCTGTGTGAATTTCAATGAGCAGATTACCCTGAATTCTTGCATGTGGCCGGATTTGTGGCGTTTTGCCAATGGAAGTCTGGAACATCAAAACACTGGTCTTTGTCTCACTTATGATCGAAGCAACACAAATGATAGTTTATGCCATGCTATCACTTGGGAGAGTGACGAGCGGCTATGTGTTGTATTGACGCTTGCCGGCTGCCCTTGTGACCATCGACGGGACGTGAATTACCCTGACTGGGCCCAGAGATGGCACGCAGACAGTGGCCGGATCATTATGCAAGCATCGCTCAATGAAACAGATGTCAACACCACCTCCATGGTGGATGAAACCCAAAAGAAGCACTTATTCATGTGGATTTCTGGCAACTTAGCTTTACTGGTGCCCTTGTGATTATGTTGACCATTCCATACCATTCCCGATGCAATGAGTGGATAACCAGACCAGGAGTGGTGGCAATCATGTTTACTCAAGACTTGGCTGCTCAAAGTAAGTAGATGACTCTGGATCGGGTCTATCCTATTACCAGTAACAGTGGATTTTTTTTTTCCGCTTTGCACCTTAGTGAGGCGGTTGTCGCCTCGAGACGAATGGTCAGTGACTACGTACCATCGGCCTCCATAGACAGAAATTCGATGACAATGGTCCGACCCACAGGAATGCCTAGAATGCCAAGCTGACCGACCAGCTAACGGCGTGAAGCCAAAACGTTGTCGCGAATCTGCTCAAATTCCAAATCTAATTCTCTGGGATGAATGACAGCCGGCTTGCCATCCCTTCTCCAAATTAAGTTGATGTGTCTCGCAGGAGGAGACTGCTGCCTAAGAAACTGATCTAACTCGACGGCGAGGTGATGACCCGAGCAAAGTCTCGGCCGCCCCTTGAAGGCGGGGAAACCACCTCTGACACCAAGCCAGGCAAGTTCATCAGTTCTACCAACTTTAGGTCGGTCATATTGAAATGGAAACATACCTTGGGAATGCAACCATTTGATGCACATACAAAAAATTCTGGATTGAGCCGCCAAAGTTTGGGGTCCTTTGGCGTCAGCATTTATCGAGATGTCCTGTAGCTGAAAGTTTGAAACTCCTCGCCAATCCCTCTTGTTCCCCGGCGCCATGTTGACTGGGGTAAGGGATCGGGTGGTCAAGGAAAAATCAAGGTACAATTCAGTGAAGGTGATTTTTGTATTGCAATTACAATGTTGGCCACACCACTGTAACTGTCTGGCCCACCACAACATTCGAAAGCAAAAGATGGGGTGGTATGGGCATCTAGCACACAATTCAAGATCAATATCAAAGGGCTTAAGAGTGGCATTTGTGCAGGGGATCCACTTCATCTGGGCTGTGGCCAGGACATCCTGTGGTTGTAACCTTCCCCTGGTTTGCGCTTCAATGGACTGGGTTTTCCGAAATGCATTGATGGAGTCCACCCATGTTGAGCCAATGAATTCATACACACGAACAAGGTCCGAACGCAGGGTTTCAACTTTGTCCGAGAGTTGCGTACGATGGTGGAGCAAACTGGGGAAGTCGATATGAAAAACATTTTTGGCTTGAAGGTCAACCTGTTCGTTGACATAAGCTCGGAATCTATGTGTACTATCAGAAATGGTCGACCAGTTTTGGTGGGCTTGCACCTTGGTGATGGTGATACCACAAAACTGTCTAGCTTCGAGATGTTTAAAAATATATTCCCAAATATGTTTGTATCCTGGCTGTATGGCTGGCATGTTGTGCATCTCAAGCATAAACAGGAGCTGCTCAACAGCAGTGTTACAATCAGAGAAGAGGTCGGCATGCCATGCATTATTTAGTGCAAGTAAAATCGCAAAAACTTCAGCAGTATACGAATTAGGCACAATGCCGTACACTCTTGAACGTGTAATTATCTGACAAGAAAGATCTGCAGGGAATCCTTGGACAACTGCTGCGCCAGCAATGGTCAGCAGGGGGGTGATTATTGCAAAAGGCGGACCCATCCAAAAATAGCTGCGGCCTCTCATTTCCAACACAACCATCAAATGGAAGAACAAAAGGCAATTCTTTGTCAAGTTCAACCAAGAAATCTTGGATAGGCATCTGGATCAAGTCAGGTAAACCTAACTGTAACATATTCTGCCCCATGAGGCTAGCCCCGTCTTCAGTGATCTGAGCTTCACACCTCTGTTGATGCCAATTAGGGCAGTGATAAATGCGGTGAATGCGTGAATCTTCATGAGAGCAAAACGGACAGGTGCCAGAAATATCGGTGCGAAAGATCTTAAAGACATCCTGAGTCATCCTTTTGCCTGTGATGTAAGCCGAAATCTGAGCCTGATGTGAGGGGCTCATTTTATGAAACGCATAATTAATGGCATCAAAGTCGAACGGCATATCAGCAAAGTCCTTCCGATTGATAAATTCCGGGAGGCGAAGATTCCAAAAATACCGGCAAAGTACTTTCAAAAGCTTAGAAGAGATCAATTCCAAGTTTAAGAAGCCAAATGCTGTCTGCATACCGAAATGATTATTATGAATTAACGGCTGGCAATTTATTTTCCTTAGCGCTAAGATCAAGCTGGCGTACGGCCCGGTGGCTTTCTTCATGGAAGGGTGCAACTCCTGGAATGCCTGCCTGGCTGCAGCTTTTCGCAAAGGAAAAGTCAAAAAGTACCGTCTCAATGTCAGTATGCGGTTGGTGATGTCCTTGAATTCTGGATCTAATGCCTCAATGGCATTGCATGCCAAAAAAAGGATTGGCCCCACCTTTGGACCTATTAATGGCTAAAGCTGTAGCTTGCCGAAGATGGTGGAAATCGTCCTTTGCCATAATTGAGACAGCTGCACCATAGTACTGTTTGGAATGGGCTGCCGCTGCCGTCATTTTTGGTCGAAAGGAATTCGGTATCTTAAGCTTAGCAATTTTCTTACATTTATCAATGGATTTATGGATCTTCAGTGCACCTGTAGGCTTACGGCGCTTTTGGGAATAATTTTGCTGGACTCCTAGATCCTTAGCAGCATCGCAGACAGGTATGTTGAGGGCGTTATGTTCTCCTTGAAGTATCAGTCGGTGAGACGGGTGATTCGCCCACAGCCAAGATTTAGGTCTCGATATCTGCATACGAATGGAACTGAGGAAATCTGCAAGTTGGTTGAGACCGCACAACAACTGGTCAGCATGTGCATGGACGAAGGACCAGTTGTCAGCGAAAAAACAAACACTGTGCATGTGGAATTTTTCCCATCAGAATTTTCCATGCCCAAATGCTAATGGCTAACATTGCAGGCACTGCAAAGGAGCATCCTTCCACGATACCTGTTGTAGTATGGAAAAGTTCGCCTGCTGTGCCATCAATGATGAAGACTCTTTTCATGGCATCCATAGCAGCAAGAAAAGCGTATGTGATCTTAGGTTCAGCCCCCATGGCAATCAAACCTTCCACAAGCGGAACTCGTGGGACAGCATTATATGCTTTAATGAGGTCTAAGACAACGCCTGCAATCTTTTTATTT